CCTGAGTCCCCTGCTGTTAAGCCAATTTGATATCCAATTGTCAAGCTCACTCTGAATCCCATGTGATATAAATTTGCTAATCAGTCTACCATGCGGAACCTTTGTCAAAGGCTTTACTGAAGTCCAAGTAAAGCATGTCCAGTGTCTACTGCTCTGTCCTAGTCAGTCATCTTGGTTATTTCATGTTACTACATGTAACAAGGTATTACACAAATGCAATTTATTTATTTGAGGCTGCCTTGACTTCTGGTAAGTGAACTCAATGCTTTTTCAGGGTAAGCGAGAGATAATTTGCATCAGTGCCTGGATGTAGTGGAGGCTTGGGCCTAGATGCATCTGTTGGGTTTTTTTTGAAGTAAAAGGGTGGTAGTATATCCTTTTCTGGAAGGAAATGTGGTTTTCAGAAAGTATGTAGCAAATTAGTTTTTGGATTAGTTCTTACAAATGCATTTTTGTGAAAATTGAAAAAAAGTAATAAAACTGCCTTCTAGCAGTCAGCTGGAGAATGGTAATCCTCTTCACATTGAAGGAGGTAATGGCCTAGTGGTATTATTGTTCGACTGTTAATCCAGAGACCCAGTTAATGTTCTGGGGACTCCAGTTAGAATCCCACCATGGCAGATGAGGGAATTTGAATTCAATTAAAAATATGTGGAATCAAGAGTCTAATGATGGATCCATTTGTCAATTGTTGGAAAAACCTATCTGGTTCACTCATGCCTTTTAGGGAAGGAAATTGTCATCCCTACCTGGTCTGGCCTATGTGTAACTCCAGACCCACAGCAATGTGGTCGACTCTTAACTGCCCTCTGGGCAATAAATGCTGGCCTGGCCAGTGATGTCCTCATCCCAGGAATGAGTAAAGAAAAGAGCAAAGCATGATGTCAGTATTGGTTGCACAAAGGAGGAGCACCAAGTGGATTAAACTTTACATTTTTATATGAAATTATGACTACATTTTTATGAAGTTCAAAGTTGTACACCTTCATTTTAGGTGAGAAATTGCAGTCAATCATCATGCTGTTTGCAAGGAATTTTGGGAAAGTGCAGTAATCTTTACAATTGGACAAAGTACTTGGCTGTGCATAAATTAAGATGAGCCCCATTTCTTGACTTGGAGATTGCATTCTTTTGAGCAAGTCGTGGTTTCAAGCCCCCTTTTTTAAAATCTCTTTTGGGATGTGAGCTTTGCTGGTGATTGTTCATCTCTAATTGTTAAGTCCTGGTGAGCCTCTTTCAGAGACTTGAACATTTTACAGACTGACGTGATGGCCTAGGTACTGGGGAACATTTCTCTGGAGATCTCCCTTCAGCTGAGACATTAAGCTGGGACGTGCCTGACCCTTCAGGTGAATATAAACACAAAGTTACTTGAACAGGAGAATTCGGAGGGTGTCATGATCATCATTTTATTCACAGTCAACGTTTGGCATTATTGAGTTACTTATCTTGTCATTTGTAGGGCTGTTGCAGTGCTTTCCAAAATATATTCCACTGTGACCCTGTTTTTTGAGCTTTTGAGGTCATGATAATTTTAGATGAGATCGGAGGGACTGGGAGTGTGGAGATGGACAGGGATGGTTGACTGACTGGCTAAGAGAAGGGATGCTTGTTTGAGTCGAGCATAGTGGTTGTAATGTGGTCAAAGGTCCATAGTGGCCACAGTTGTCTTCGAGTTCAGGCCCCCTAACTTTCAGCCTGTGACCCACTTGGGGGTTTCCGTCCTCAATTTAGGAAGCCATAAACTGTAGGTTGCCTGACTTCCCTCCGTTCCACCAGTAACTGCCCTTAAAATTAATTGTTGATTCTGAATGTTCTCTGATTATTCAAGGTATTATATAAATGCAATTTGTGTGGCTGCTTTTTCATACATTGTAACTCTATTTCTGGCTGTAAACAAACCATAAAATGTTCTCGTGATTATTTTATTTGATTGTGCAGAGTACATAAAACATTACTAACCATTGGGTAGGATCCCAGTTCAAGCTTAGACCTGCCCAGTTGATTATCATTTAAATTTTTTGGAGACATGAGAAAATACTGATTTGAGTTAAAAGGTTCATTTTTAAAAAAAAGTTTGCAAACTAAATTACTGCAACTACATGCCAGTACATATCTTTGCTTTCCACTTTCAAAACTAAGTGTTAATTTGGCCAGTATCTCCTTGTTTCAACTTCAGTACAAAGGCTTTAATTAAATGCTGTTTTATGTACTCTTTTTAATTTGAATTTCATTCACTTTCTTTAAAATGAAATTCCTGTTTTGAAGTGTTTTGCTATACGTGGTGTAATACCCAGTTTTCAAAGTTTGAATAGAAAGCACTTGTTTGTCATTCTAGCGAAGTGCAGTTGCTTTCCATAATTTACGATGCCTGGCATTTTACATAAGAGCATTAACAAAGCATAACTAACTTCATTTAAGACTTGCTAACCTCTGCTTATCGCTTCTCACTAAGTTTTTATTTTAGCATATTTCAGAGCATCTATGTTCATAGAATCATAGAATCCCTACAGTGTGGAAACAGGCCCTTTTTGGCCAAACAAGTCCACACCAAACCTCAGAGCATCCCACCCAGACCCATCTCCCACCTAATCTACGCCTCCCTGAACGCTATGGGCAATTTAGCGCAGCCAATCCCCCTAACCTGCACATCTTTGGACTGTGGGAGGAAACCGGAGCACCCGGAGGAAACCCACGCAGACACGGAGAATGTGCAAACTCCACACAGACCGTCTCCTGAGGCTGGAATCGAACTCGGGTCCCTGGCGCTGCTGCGTAATCTAAGACAACCTTTGAAGTCTTCACTCCTTTATGCTAAAATCTAAGCCTAGGGCTACCCCAGCTCTTCCCAATTTTTCATAAATGCTGGCTCTGAAAGTTCTTTTTCCTACTTGAACATAGGAAATATTGAGTGTTCTTGCATGGGATGTTAAATTTTCTTAAACTAATATTCCTGTGACAAAGGGGTAAATAAAAGCATTTGAAATAATATTTTTGCCTTTATGCTGTTTCACCAGATTGCAAAGCTCAGACAGCAACTTCAACGCACTAAACTAAGCAAAAAGCATGGCAAGGAGAAAGAGCGGCAGTCACCTCTGCATGGAGATCATGCTGCTATGGGTGTGGTACAGCAGGTAAGATGCTCTTTGTGGTGCAAGTTGTCCCTGTTTGGCCTGTTTCAAACATTGATTAATTTTAATAATTATAATTATTTATAAATCAAACTTGTACCCTATTCAGGCGGTTGTATGAATTTTGAGCGTGGCCACAGAGCAGTTCCATGTCTTGAATTTGACTGTCCAGTGCAGCTCATATTGATCTTTGGAAACTCGCTAAAGGGAGTGTTTTAAATAATTGAACCACCTGCATTGTTTGAAAGCAAACACTGGTATCAGTCAATGCCTCCTGTAAACCTCATGCATTTAATACTGAAATGTCATATTAGATCGCTAGTTTGTTACTTGAAATAAGATGAGTACATTTGAGGGATATTTCAGATCCCCACCATTTGCTTCCTTTTTGCAGCTTTCTATCTCTGCTTCCATAGTCAGTTCATATAGCCTTTTTGGCTCTGCAGAGGTTTTGTATTTTTACCTTCACACTTTTCATTAAATTGTGCATGCTTTTTTTCTCATAAATTGATGTATTTGGCTTTGAAAGGGACCTTCCAAGTTTGTACCCATTCTGCCAGCAAATCTTGCCATCACAAAGTTAATTCCACGACTTAGGAACAGTTTGGAGGCAATAAATCAAGAAATTGAAGGAATGTTTATTAAAGAACCCGGGGATAAAGAGTTACTGAAGGTAGGTGCCTTTGTCAGGACGCTAATTTTAGTTAGTTGAATGTTTTTTCTTGAGTATTGTTTTCAGGCTTGATGCATGCACCTACTCCTAACTGTATTGAATGTGTACTTCAGATTCAAATAACTTGCATGAGAATTTTTCTGCTTAACTGTCTGTACTGTAATGCATTAATGAACTATTTGATCTGTTCCTGATTTGATTGTGGGTATTGGCAAGAATTGCAATGGAGTAGGGCAAGGTATATTAGAATTGGCCTAATGCCCTGAGCTAGGCTTTTTGAGGGAAGAAAAGAAGCAACCACTATTGCTCCGTTTGGCAGTGGCTTTTACAAAGAAATATGTGCTGGCCAGTTTTCTGATCAGCTGCAGTGTTGCTGTAATTGATCAGTCTGGCATTTACTTCAAATTGTGCAAAACAGCTTAAGATTGATCTTCACTGTTATAATTCCAGAGAAGGGTTCAGTGTGCCTATGGGGGTGTTCATTTCTGTACTACCACCACCAAACTTTTTTTTGTATAGTGGGTCTTCAGCAGCAAGCCTTGAGCTGGAAGTGCCCACGCACAGATAACTATGGATAGAATTCATTTTCAACTGCACTGTCTACCAGTTGAATAGTCTGCCAGAACCCAGTGTCTAGGTTCTCCTATGTTTAAGGGTGCGGAAGAAAATCCATTTTATTCAATTCATCAGAGTCTAGGCTGAGGGTTTCCACTCCACCTCAGAAACTGGGTGCATAATCAAGAATAGAGCTTTGATATATTGTGCGAATGTTGCAGTGTTAGTGTTGTCATTCAGTTAATTCTGTTAAACTAGAGTTCCTGTCAGCTTTTGCAGTTGGATTTTAATGTGGCACTAAAGTGCCATTGATTCTTTGAGTCATGATGTCCACATCTCTATGGCTACACGCATGTCCTGAGTGTTTCTCTGAAAACTTGAGCAAATAATCTAGGCCAGCACTTGATTGCATTGTTTTTTAGAAGCTACTTTGAGATGAGAAGTCAAAACTAAACCGGTACATTCTCCCAATATTCTGATCCGTATTGAGCCTCCACTGTGCCACAGTGATTTGTTTCCATTGCTGTTTGTAGGATTTTGTTCCAGGTTAGCTCCACATTACAACTGAGAAGTGTTTTAACTTAATTTATCACACATTCAGAAATTAAGCTGGTTCAAATATCTTGGCGAAGTTCAAAAATTCCCATAAGTCACCCAAATTCAGTTTTCATCGATTTAAGAACAGCCTTTATCATATTTTGATAGTAGCCAACAAAAGTGCTTTACAGTAAAATAAACTCCTGCATATAATTAGGATGCATACTGTGCTTATTTTTTCACAGCAAGATCTGAGATGGAAATAAGGTAAATGATTGTTTCATTAATTTCTGGATTGGATTAAGGAAAGAATATTGCCCACAGCATCTGGTATCCTTAAGTAATGCCAGATCAAATATGGTCATGATATTAAGTCTCTCTGAAAAGATAGCACCTCCAAAAATGCAGTACTGTCTTGTTTAAAGAATTGCAAAGTCATCTTGTGCTGAGAGCTCAATGTGGTGATAACTGATTCATCAGATTTGTAAATGTGTGCTGCAACCAATTTGAGCATGATGTTGATTAAATCTTGTAGCCGTAGTGATGTGGCTTTGACTGTCAATACAAATTTAGGCAGAATGTAACTAGTGAATCATTAGTGAAAAGAAATGCAAGCAGTTCCATATTTTCTAAAGCTTATTAAAAATGTTGCAGTCTAGCATTTTACCTGGTTTGCTATATACCAAATCCTTTGCTATCAGTGAGTGGTGAAGTACTTGGATTTCCTGGGGATAAATCAAAAATGCAGTTAGCACTATAATAGAAATCTCTTATCAACTGTGAAGGACCATACCATCTGGGCCTGTCAATTAAGTGGGGGAGGTAGTGAATAACTGGATCTGAAGCCAACCTCGAGTATGTCAATCTGCATATTGAGGAGTGAGCATATTCTTTTGTCACTATGAACTGCAATTTGGAGCCTTCTGTTTCAAATCGCTGATTTTTCATTTTTCCTACATCTCCTTTGTAGATAATGGAAGCACCTGATGGGCACAGGGCACCCTTCCCTTCACAACGACATAGCAGCAGTTCTCAAAGTGAACCTTCACCTATTCCTCTTGAGCAGACCAGTGGCTATAGTAGTCCTTCTCCGTATCCCTCCCCGTCCACGTCTCCTTTGTATCCAAATGGAAACCAGGAAGAGGGGCCATGTATTATAGAAGATGTATCATTTTTTGTTCGGGACAAAGGTGAGATCGTGGTCTGATGTGGGAGATTTGTTTTCTGAATCACTTGGAAGAAAATTTCAGTTGTGTTTTTATTCCTTCTATCTCTTGCCCCTCATGGAGCTGCTGGCTCAGACTAGGAAGAGTCAGGCAGATGTGAGCAACTTCGTGCTATTGTGGCCATATGTTTGCTCTGTGATGCCATTTCAAGGAGTGTTATCAAGTTCTTTGACTTTAATGGACATTGGAGCCAAATTTGATGCAATGCTTTATGTGCCTAAGACAGATTTATTGTAAAGTTTAACACTTATTCTGGTTAGAATATGCTTACTTGGCACTTTAGTCTTAAATAGCAGGATTGCAGTTCAAAATGAAACAATTTATGGGCAACAATATTTACAAACTGAATAACTTAGACTTTTAACAGTTCAATTTGTATTATAAAAGAATATTCATGTGGCTGTCCCACCATGAGCTGGCTGTTCCAGTTGCACCTTTTCTCTAGCAGTAAGCATACTACAAATTACTGTCCTGATACACTCTTCCCCTTCCAACCATGTATGCTTCTATTTTTGCAGGTCTCCTATCCTGTCGTATCATGTTCAATTTAGCCCTGGCTTAATCCTGTATTTTTGCTTCTATTAATGCTTTGAGTGTTACTTTTTGTTAACTTGAGCAATCCAGTTGGGTGATCAGTAATAACATGTTAACCAACAGGGGAGGGGATGACCTAATGGTATTATCACTGGACTGTTAATCCAGAGACCCAGATAATGTTCTGGGGAGCCAGGTTCGAATCCCGCCATGGCAGATGGTGGAATTTGAATCCAATAAATATCTGGAATTAAGAGTCTAATGATGACCATGAATGTATTGTCGATTGTTGGAAAAACCCATCTGGTTTCCGGAGTCCTTTTAAGGAAAAACTGCCATCCTTACCTGGTCTGGCCTACATGTGACTCCAGACTCTCGGCAATGTGGTTGACTCTCAACTGCCCTCTGGGCAATTAGGGATGGGCAATAAATGCTGCCTAGCCAGTGATACCCCCATCCTGTGAACGAGTAAAAACAATTATTTTGGACGGAAAGGTGCTCACAAAGAAAGCAGTTTTTTTCATTTGCAGCTTACCTTGCATTGACCCTAAAGTTTTCAGTGGCCTAGCTATGGAACGATGCTCTATATTCATTTTGTGGCCATCTTCTGGAGAAAGATGTTGAATATGGAAACGTGAAAGAAGTTGCACCTCGTGTATTACTGCATTTACTAGAACTGTTCATTTTTGTATTTCACTGAATCCTTCATCAAAAGCATAAATGTTCTCAGTTTTAACACTAATTGTAATTCTAGGTGACTTGGTTATGAGCCCAATGTTCTAATTCATCTCCTCTGCTTCATTTGGTCCAGATAGTGGCACAAGCTCCCCTCTTCTGAAGTATGCTTCTTCTCCCAAACCTAACCACAGTTACATGTTCAAGCGGGAGCCTCCAGAAGGCTGTGAACGAGTGACTGCATTTGAAGAAACACCGTAAGTAAATGTACTTATCCATGTTATGCTAACTTGGAAAAAATAAATTAGCCAAGTGCAGTTTGTGTTTAGCTTTCCACAACCTTGTTAATGGAGCTGAAGGCTTTTTAAGCATGTACACTTTGCATCCAAACTGACTTCTCGTTTCCAAATCAATGAATGGATTCCTTAGTTTTACTTGATTTACTTTTTTCTGTTCCATATTTACAGTTAGGATTGAGATGGTCAAATGTCATTGCTTAAAGAATGATGTTCAGTTGAAGGCTTTTTGTTCATTGCACTTGTTCTGCTTGCATGTCAGGTTTTGCATGTCAGGTTTTGCCTCATGATCACACTCTCAAAATTCTGCATAAAGAAACAATTGGACCACGTTGAACATTGAAGATTATAGTCAGCCATTAATATTTCACCAGAATATGAGAAAGTAAATAAATCTAATGTGCAGGATATTACAAATGGGCAGATCATGGAACAGGAGGCTGATCTGAATTTCAAATAAAATAGCTTAATGTAACAAGGTGTACTTTTGTAGCAGAGCAGTCACTGTGACCAGATATCATTAAATGATGCTATAATTAAAAGGCTCTAAGATTAGTAATGTTTTAAATTTGTGTTGTGAAAACCAATCAGTATTTTCCTTTGCCCTTTGAACATGCTCTGTGATGTTTGGAATCTGGGAAAGTGATATGTACGGTTGAGTAGTCTGAAATTAATTTTTGAATCAACTTTTCTAGTTGACAAGCAACATTTTTAAGTCAACAGTCAAAAAAATTTCAAGGAGCTGAAGTCGGGAAGCAGGAAAAGATGGGTTTGATGAAAGCACGTGCTCAGTTTACTTCATTTTTAGAGGATTTGGGTGATGTTTTACTTTAGAATTTTTCAGTCATTCACAACTCTGTAGTTTGTAACAGAATAATACAAAATCATTACAAGTGTGAGAAAACAGATAAAGCTGTGGGGCTTTTCAACTTGTGCTGCAAGAATCTAGTTATAATGCTTTAAAGAAGAAAACGTTACAAATTGCGTAACCAAACAACTGTGGATGCTGAATCTGACACAAAAATGCATGTTGTTGGAGCAACTTGGGTCTGGCAACATCTGTGGAGAGAAAGCAGAGTCAACTGAGTTCAGAACTCAGTTCTGCAAAAGGATCATTGGATCTGAAATGTTGACTGACTAACAAAATGATCTTAGTACAATTTAGATTAGTTTAATTTAATTTGACTTAAATGCAGTTTATCTTGTACACTCAGAATTACATTAAGACAAAATCTGTGTTGAAATGCTTTGAAATTTATTTGATTAAATATGATTAATTCACAATTGCTCCTGTGTTCTTTTTCAGGACAATTTCCTTTGGGCAGGCTTTGCTGTACTCGTGTCCAGATAAAAACAAGGTTAATTTCAACCCGACTGGCTCTGCCTTCTGTCCAGTTCATATTCTCAAACCTCTTTTACCAACTGTTGACTTAATATTAAGGCACTTGCCAACATCTGCTTCATCAACCCCTTCAAGCACAGGGGGATCACCAAGCACTTTGACCTCTTGCCAGTCTACAACTCAGGTCTCATTCCAGCAACCATTGGAGGATTCAGGGACCACAGACTTTACTGAGCTTTCTAAGGAACAACCGATACAGTTTGATCCTTGGAAACTTGCTCAGGCTGAAGAAGGTGCCTTTTTCCAGAGCTCATTAGTAATTTAGACTGGCAATTCTGCAAAAGTTAAATAGCTGACTGGAACTTTATCCCTAACAAGTTTATGGTGGTAGATACTAGTGACATTTGGTTGTCTTGGCCATAAATGTATTTGTATCTTGACTGTGGGTTTAACTGTTTTGATGTAAACAGATACTAAACCAACAAGTGAGGCATGTGTCTTCAAAGGAGAATTGGCTGATCATTAGGATTTGTCTATATATATTTGTGCTGAAGGCAAATGGTTTATCAACAAACAAGCTTATTTGAATAGAAATTCTAGGCATTCTATGCTAAAAATTATGATAAAAATTCAAAGATGTCTGCTAGTCTTAACTTTTTAACCGTAGCAGTACACTTTCTTTCCTGGCTTGAGCCCAAATATTGCAACTTCAATAAGCACAAGTAAATAAGGAGAATCGTGAAGACAGGCATAGGACTGTATTAAATGGTAGCCACTGGTTTAATTTTTGCTGGGGTATTTTTCAGTCAGCATCTAACCTCATAGTACCTTGTGTGTAAGACTGCTACAGTATTTAGAGAATAAATTTTGTTTGTATACTAAATGCACATTGGAAGCTTTTTCTTGATTAACTTCCTTGCTCTTTACTTTATGAAAAGCATTAGGTTTAGCATTTTTAAGCAGTGTGTTACAACAAAAGGTGACTTGTGCAACTGCTTTTGATTTCAAGGTGGTAGAATGTGGAATATTAGAAATCCCAGGTTACTGATTAGAATTGGTACAAATATAAACCATTGGGTGCTGCTCAACAATTGAGCCCAGTGAAATTCTGGACTTTAGTAACTATCCTATAGCAGCAAGCACATTTCCTGCCAATCTGGCACCTGTAAGCTCAGTGAAGAAACTGATCTGTAAATGGTGTTTGATCTGCTTCAAAGCCTTAGTACATCTATCTTTCTGTGGGTAAAAGGTGTATAATTGACACAACTCAAGCCTATTAATGAAGATGCCACTAGGGAAATTAAATTCCTGTTTGTCCAACATTGGGCAAAATTACCCTGACTCATTTCTCACTTTTAATCGAGACTGGATGGAATGAATTGCTCTGGAAACTTTCTGATAATGCCACACAAAGAAGCAGGAGGGTATTTTAAAATCAATATGTAATTTTAAAGATCTATCAGGTTAACAACTCGAGTATTAGGCATTGATTAAATTTAATTTGTTCAGGTTAAATGAAATATTTGTGAAAGGTGACTGGGCTAATCTAAAATCAAGTTAGGAGGCAATCTGAATATACCAGAATGGGGGTTGCAGTTGTACTGATGTAACCTGTGCAATTAACTGACATCTACTTCAGTTCCTTGACACAGCTTGCAAGTGCTGTGCTCTGTGTTGCATTCTGCTATTGTGTTTTATACAACAGAATACGTTTCCTGGCCAATTAAGTTCAATTTTTCTTTAGTTTGCTGCAACCAGCATCGGTAACATTGTGAACTTTGTGGGGAGAATTTTTTGGTTGTGTTTAAATCTGTTGGCCATTCAGATTATTTTAGCCTGCCTTGTTCTGTAATTTTTCTGCCCAATTACTACCTTTTAGGAATACAAATTAAATTTAAGATTTAAAGATTGGGCTGCATTTACTGAGTGTAATAATTGTAAGCTATTATTTAGGATAAGGATTTAAATAGAATGGCTTAATTCAACGTAGTTGATTCCACTACCCAAAAGTAGTTTGGCCTTTCCTCTGAAGGAGCAAAGAGGGAATAAGTGAAGAACACAAGGTTTACTTGCACGTCTGTTCAGCTTTTCTTTTCTCATTGTCACTATTTTGAATGCTTTTTTTCTACTGAAATGTATTTTTAAATTTACTTAATATAAGTCTGGGCTGACATGCAGAAAAGTATTTTTTGCTTGATATTTATTTAAACAATTGTACCCATTTGAAGGGCTAGCTTTGTTTAAGGTCTAACTTGGGTATTAAAACAAAGGGTCTATCTGAAGCCTCTAGCTTAAAAGCAAAGTGTATAGATATATATGTATTTAAGGACTGCTTAGTTCCTCTGCATTCCAGTTTAATTTGCAGGTATATTCTGATACAGAGCCTGTCAAAGTAAAAGCACCAGCATTTAAACTCTTAATCTTCAAATGAGACAAGAAGATTGTGTGGTTAATTATGGTTTCAGAAACATGTTTAGAGTGGAGTGCCCAAAAGAATTGTGTCATAGCGTGCTCCTTGTGCATTGGAGTTTCAATGCAATCTGTAATTAAGCTTCTTTTCCATTGACTAGATAGTGAAACTGTAGACAGCAAGTGTCCTAACATTGGTCCGTACATCAGATCTTTGAAACTGCTTTGAAAGAGGCTCGATTCTAAATTGAATAGTGCAATGCAATGCAAATATCAAATTGTAATTCAGAGGTTCATTGAAACATCATGCTGTTTGAAGTTGGTATTTATTCCTGGCCTACACTTAGCTTCCCACCTGCTCCTTTCTCCAAAAGCCTTAATGTACATAATAGGGAAATAAAATAGCTGATTCCCAGTAGTGGCATAGGTTGCATTTCGGGTGAAAAAGCATAAAATATAATTGTGGCAGTTGTTTTCTTGCAGTAGACGGTGTCTGGACTGCCATTTTAATTTAGTTTTAATTTAGTTGAATCTTGGCCTCCTTGCCTTTTGGTTCAGGAACTTTATACAGTATTCAAAGAAATATATAGTGCAACTCTCAAAATACAGTTCTGCTCTTGGTTATGTCTCATTTTATTTACTGTTTAATTTTCTGAATACTGCAAATAAAGGGAAAAAATGAAGGTTTAACAGATTTAAAAGTTTCCCCTAAATTGTTTGGGGGATAAAACTTGTCTTCTAAAGCTGAGAAAAGTCTTGATTTATTGTATTAACTCATGTTCTGCCTGTTGACAATAAACTTTGCAAATGCATATTTCTAATTGGTTAACTTATTTTTACAGGGTGCTATATCATAAACTCTTGCTTCACATTTTTGCAGTAGTTGCATGAAGCCAAAAGTGACGTGATGGTATCTCTTTGAAATTAATTTTAGCTACTCTTTTGTGAAATGTCATTTGCCAACCTGACTCCCATACTTTTTTGTGGTTTAATGTTTTAAACCACATTGATAGATGCATATTTGTAATAAAGTGAGACATTGTATCTGGTTGAGTTTTTGGATAGGTGTATTATCTGCTGTTGGAGAAGCTATTCTGATTTGAAGCAGTGCCCCTTTTTGGCAAAAAAAATGTTAGTCACATTTTTAAGTGAACTAGCACCTTCTGGTGGTAGAAGCCAAGTACTGTAACAGTATTAAATGGACCTTCGTCTTTCGAAGTTGCTAGGTCTTGAATAACTGCACCTGTGGTGGAACAAGTTTAAATTGTATTCTCCCTGTTGCTTTAATCTATTCAATTCACTTGCATTTTTTGCTGCAGCCATTTTTAAATCTAGGTCAGATGTCACTTTTCTTCCGGTGCTGCTTTTATTTGGATGGGGGGACCCTTGCAGTAACCTTTTTGGCTTAAACAATAGTTCCTTAACTTATACTTTCCAAAAAGAAATCCCAGTGGCTATTAAACTTGAGAATCAGCAAATAAAAATTTAAAAGCAAAAAATTATCTGTATGACCATTGTAAATAAACGAATGAGTGAAGCCAGCTCGTGTGGCTGACTTTATAAAGCTAAGGCAATGTAGGTGTAGCATTCCTCCTCCATCTTTAAAACACTGTACCATGACACATTTCCTTTTGTTAGACACAAATGTGTATTCACATAGAGAAAATTAGCCTATCTGAAGAATGATAACTATTGCATTTTGTATTCTGTACTTGTTGATTGAAATGAACTGTTATGACTGCAAATACCATGTGAATGTTGAGTAAATTGCTGACCAAGTTGGTTAATGTAATACCAATTTTGTATTTAAAGATTTGAATTGGCCTGGAATTGTCTTTGTAGAATTATTTTGTCTTATAGACACTATTTGGGGGTTTGGTTGACCTTGTATATACGTTTCAGAACATTAAGCTTGGACAAATGTATTGACCACATGAGCTGTGTTTTAGCATGTGGATTTGTGTGTGTTTTTAAGAAGTAGGTTCAGTTTCAAAAAGTACAAAAATAAAAAAGTGCCAATTTCCATTGCAGATCTGTGCTTCATTAAATTGTCTTCTATTAAATTGTATTTTCGCTAACTCCCTTCACTGGAACAAAATTATTCAAACTCTGTACTCCATTCGCTGTCTAGATGTACCCAGGAGTGGAATATGTAGGTTGCAGTTTAATTTGGATCTAATGAATTGCTACTGTGTTATTGGCATGCAGAGATCCAAACCTTCTTTTAATCACTTAATCATTGTGGATCTCTACTTGTTGTCGCCCTTAAACAATTGAAATTTTCTACGTTCAACATCTATTAAGGTTAAATCTATAAGGACTTGTTTCATAATGTTGGAAATGCTTCGTGGTTTTGAAATGATCTGTGGAAAATAATGGGCAGTGATTTATGGTATGTGAAAACATGGTATAGAAATTGTGCAACACATTGGGTGTGGTACTAAACTAACTACTGATACTAAAGATAGTTTAAGCTGTCTGATTAGGCACAAGGGATGTTAAATAGCTGAGGTGTGATCCGCAGTTTGAATTTTTTAATCCTATGTGGGATGTGAGTATTGCTGGCTGGGCCAGCATTTATTGTCCATTCTAACTTGCCGTTAAGCTTGCACCTGACTCTGGTCTTATGATCCTAGTTTTGTGTTGATTTTTGTTGGGGGGGGGGCAGGGTGGGGGTGTGAACTGCACTTTTTTCCACTGCCCATTTCTTTTCCTAATTTGTCCCACCAGAGTATTCCACAGTTTATCCTTGTCAAAAGATCTTCAAATGAGTAATAACCCAAGTTATCTGTGCTACAGTGAGGGAGGTTTGCCTGATTGCAACCCAGTTAATCTGGTGACTGGATTTTCTATTTCTTGATGCTTGTATCCTTTATGGGTTATATTTCTGCCCTTTTGGGAGGCTTCTTTGATCAGTTCTACAAGTTTAAAAAGTCACCATATTAAAAAGGAACTTTGGGCTGCTCGTTAATTAGAGAGATGACTGGTGGTGAGCCTAACCCGAGGGTCACCATGCCTTAGGCAAATGGATAAGGTCCAGAAGGCAGAATCTTCATGGTGACCTCAGCTGTTGTGGGAATTCCCACGTTGGCATTGGTCCATGTTGCAACCAGCCACCCAGCTGGTTGAACTAACAGACCCCCTCAGGTATGTCAACGCAGATGTGAAAGTCGGCCTCTCCCTTCATCTGTATTGTGGCATGATGTTTTCATTTCACAGTTAGCAAAGCAACACTGTGGTATCAGATGATCTTTTAGATTTTGCTTACCACATTTTTGCACTTCTAAAAAGAGAATAAAAATGTCATCAGATGCTGGTGGCTCCCCCAAAAAAGCAAGGTTTTTTGCAGATCATGTGACGAGCACAAATGAAGACATGCCTTTTGAGATGTATGTCTTTTTTGTAGTCCCATTTGGTAAGGACATAACCTGTGGTAATTGTCAAGGATGAAGTGTGTTGTCGCCCAATATTGATAGAGCAGAAAGTTTTAGTAACTGGTCTCATGGACAGGCTTAATTTAAAAAAAAAAGTTGCAGCCACAGAGGCTGCTTCCTTGTAGGTTTATGTAGAATGTGATCGTTTTGTTTCCGTTCCACTTCAGCTCAGACTGGATGAAAATCCATGTACTTTGCAGGAAATGAATATTTGGAATGATTCAACCAGAGCAAATGGGATTGAGGTCACAATATGACTGCATTGGATCCACTTTGTAATTTGTACAGATCGGCTATTTGAAGGTCACTTGTTGAGAGAAGTGGAAAAATTCACATTGGTGAGCAAGTTGGAAAAACATATTGGCAGAAAGCCAAGGTTCTTCACATTTCACTTCATTGTTCCTGAGTTGACTGGGGGAGTTGCTGATATTGTCTGAAGTGACAAATATGGGAACAGCACCCAGAACTAACACCAGCTACTTTGAGCATACCAATGATCTGTCTTGTGCATAAAGCTATTTGAAATTTTACAGGCTAATACATTCTATCCAATTGAGATCTTTCTACCAAACACTTGAACCTACAAATAACCAAGTGGGAGGCAGAATTGAAACTAATGAAATCACTGTTTTTGGCAGCAGTTTTATTTTACAGTAACTTATGGATTAAAATACTTTTCTAGTCAGTCAGTTGCTTGTGCACAGGAAGTCATTAAATTTGAATCTTGAAACCAAACTACTGTGATAAGTAAACTAGTGTTTAAATTTTAATGTATCAAAAAAGAATTTTCCCACATTTTGTTACATCCCTTCCATTCTAAGAACGCATCCCATTTTCTAAATATAGTGCCTGGATGTGGACTTTCGGGACCCAAGAGTGTAACAGCCATAGTGTGCAGATGTGCCGCTAGAATTTAACCAGCTGAAATGGAACTTTTACCAATGCTGATGAGTATCTTGTTACATACTAGAAAATTTAGATGTTAGTGGAATCTCTGCCTGAATTTTAATTAGCCCCAAGTCCTAGTTACCTTTGTTCTTGAGCAACACCTTCATTTTAAAATTCACTCTTGTTTCAAAAACTACCACCCCCCCCCCTCAATAAGTTACATAATCAGCTGAATGTAGTTGTTTTTAACTGGTGTTGATTATAGCAGGAATCTAAATTGTTGGTGACTCAGCCCTATCTAAGACATTTCTGAAATTGCATGGTCAGAAGTCTACACCTGAACGAGACATCATTAGAGTAACAAACTTGATTTACGTGGTAATTCAGTGTACAATTAACTGAAGTTGCTTTAAGGTTTATTGCAACTGAAAGTCTTGCATATTAGATTTATCAGGATTAGTGTTAGTTCTTAAATACGGTTTGTTGACAAGATTTTTAAGCAGAAGCAAGATTAATCACTAGGGACTGGCAGGGCTGCTTTGACTTCAGATGCATATCTTATGCTATATAGGAACTCAGGTCTTTTTCTCATTCTGGATAACTATTTGTGCCAGAAATGTTGTCAGTTGCAACAGCTTGGTGTTGATTTTGAAAGGCTGACCACTGTATGGATAGCATGTTTTATAGATGCGGTCACTGCTGTTTTAAGTGTTTACAAGCATAAATGGAGAGCAGGAATGATGACCAACAGTTAGTCAAAAGGAACAGGCACATGACATAATCCTACTCTCCAACCACTTCAGTTCTACATAGAAAATAGGGTCCTGCTCGTCATTCATTATTATCATTAATTCAGTCACCCATTCTTGCTCCTCCTCCTCCTCCTCCTCCTCCTCCTCCTCCTCCCCCTCCTCCCCCCCCAAAATCTTAATCCCTTTAGCCCCAAGTGCTAATCGAACTCCTTGAAATCGTGTCATGTTATGGTCATGACTGCTTTGTATCATAGTGAACATAACAGGCTCACTACTTGAAGAAATTGTGTCTCGCAGTTTTAAAAAAAAAAAAAAAGCTTACCCTGTATCATGACCTAATTTTGGACCCCCCAAAAAATCATTGGAAGCACCCTTTCTGTGTCTCCTGTTTAGTCTTGTTAGAATCTCCATAGAAACCTATCAAATTCTCCCTCAATTTTCTGAACTCCCAATATAATCCTAACTGATTTCAATACCTCAGTTCAGCTGTCCCAGGAATCAGTCAAGTAAACCTTTGCTGTATTCACTCTATATTCCTCAAGTTAGGAGATAGAAACTGCATACAATATGTGGTGTCTCACCCCAAGGTACTGTTTAATTGCAGCTAGGCATCCCTGCTCATGTACTTGAATCCCCCTCACTGAAGGCCAACATGCCATTTGCTGTACCTGCATGCTTGCCTTAAGCAACTGGTGTACAAGGCCACCCAGGTGTTGCTGCACATTCCTCTCCGTTTGCCAATTGGACAATAATCTGCCTTCATGTTTTTGCTACCAATATACATAACCTCTCATTTACTGACATGGTACTGCATTTGCCAACTCACTCAACTTGTCCAAAGTTGAATGGTATTTTGGTGGTGGTGATCATAACTCTGTTACTTTTAAAATAGTCATGGAAAAGGATAGGTACATACAGCAGGGTAAGGTTTATAATTGGGGGAAGGGTAATCATCATTCTGTTAGGCAAGAACTGGGTAACATAAAATGGGAACAGATGCTGCCAGGGAAGAGCACTATAGAAATGTGGAGATTGTTTGTTTAAGGAATGCATGCTGCGTGTGATCGATATGTTTGTCCCTAGCAGGCAGGGAAGATGCGGTCGAGTGAGGGAGCCTTGTTTCTTGAGAGGTCGAATGACTAGTTAAGAGGAAGAAGGATGCTTATATAAGGTTTAGCAAAAAAAGCTCTAGAGGGATACAAGTTCTCTAGGAAAGAGCTGAAGAAAGGGCTTAGGAGAGCTATAAGGGGGCATGAGAAAACCTTGGCAGATAGGATCAAGGAAAACACCAAGGCTTTTAACACATATGTGAGGAATAAGAGAATGACCAGAGTAAGGCTAGGGCCAATCGAGGATTGTAAAGGGAACTTGTGCCCAGAGTCTAAAGAGATAGGTAAGGGCCTTAATGAATACTTTTCTTTGGTATTCACAACTGAGGGACCTAGTTGTAGGGGAGGACAGTGTGAAACAGGCTGGTAGGCGGATGTTAGTAAGGAAGATGTACTAAGAATTTTGAGGAACTTGAAGATAGTGAAGTCCCCTGGGCCTGATGGGATTTATCCAAGGATTCTGTGGGAAACAAGGGAAGAGATCACAGGGCCTTTTGCGATGATCTTTTTGTCCTCACTCCACGGGTATAGTGCCGGAAGATTGGACAGTGGCAACTGTCATTCCCTTGTTCAAAAAAGGAAATAGGGATAACCCTGGAAATTATGGGCAAGTTGGTCTTACTTCAGTGGTGGGCAAATTATTGGAAAGGGCTCGGTGATAGGATTTATGATCACTTGGATAGGCACAGTTTGATTTGTGATAGCATGGATTTGTGATGGGTAGATCATGCCTCACAAACCTTATTGAATTCTTTTGAAGAGGTGACCAAACACGTGCATGAAAGTAGAGCAGTGAATGTGGTAAACGTGGATTTAAGTAAAGCATTTGATAAGGTTCCCCATGGTA